CTTGGAACTGATACCTACATAAATAATCTATTTGACAGTGTCCGGACTGGGTGGGTACATTGCTTCTTTGTTCAACATTATTTAGACATTATAAACACGAGTTAATGATAATCCTCTTGAGATACAGATGGGTGCTTCTCGAGGTACTCGATAAAATTGCACCTGGATCAGTCAACTGGAAGCAGGCAACAAAACCCCCAATTAAGATGCCTTTTAGAAAAGTTGAGAACTGCAACCAAGTCATACGGATTGGAAAAGAACTAAATTTCTCCCTTGTGAATGTAGCTGGAAACGATATTGTACAAGGAAACAAGAAGCTCATATTAGGTATTGATACTCTCTGTTGAATCTCCATTTTGGCATTATTTCTTCATTTTCATGCCAAAAAGTCTGAAGAGATTTACGTTGTTAACGTGCAAAGTCAATTCTTTATGGTGAATATGATGGATATAGCAAACATTTGGCGATGTGACTTTAGGTATGATTTAGTTGTTATAAATTGTTCTATCGTTAGAGAAGTAAAAGTTTCGTTTTCTTTTCTCAGCCTTTTTGTGGCAGCTAATGAGGTTCACAATGCTGCAACTGTTAAAAAACTTGAGGTTTCATGCCCAAGGAAAGGAAATAACAGATGCTGACATCCTAAATTGGGCAAACAAAAAAGTGAAGAGTGCAGGCAGAAAATCTCAAATAGATAGCTTCAAGGTGATTAAAAAAACTTCAACTTTGATATATCGGGTTTCTGTTTCACGGTATCTGAGTTCTTTGTTTTGTTCTGTTAGGACAAAAGTCTATCAAATGGGATGTTTTTCCTAGACCTTCTTAGTGCAGTGGAGCCAAGGGTCGTGAATTGGAGCGTTGTAACCAAGGGGGAAACAGGTATAGACTTATAATGTAACAATTCATTTATACATGTAAATACAGAAGATTTAGATTACTTAGATGATCACTCAACTAATAGTTATTATCTCGGGAAGCCATTTTCTTTGTTGAAGAAACTTGGAATTAAGAAGAAAGGTGACTTCCTGAGATAATAACAATTGATTGAGTGATCATATGAGAAATTGACAACTTGGAAGAAAAGATTTTCTTCTCTACATGACTTTGATTAAACTTGTTTCTTTGGGTATCATGAAAAATACTGATGATTCTGAATGCAACTGCAGACGAGGATAAGAAGCTTAATGCAACTTACACAATCAGTGTTGCACGGAAACTTGGATGCTCCATCTTCTTATTGCCAGAGGATATAATAGAGGTAACATGCTTTTTTGTGCCCGCATTTTGTACACCATACTAGAGTGTTGTTATATATTTAGACATGCCATATCGCGCAGACTAAAAGTTTTACATGCTGCAGTCCCGATTCATTCAGAAAAAACTTCCAATGAACACCATAAAAGCTAATTTAGCTGTACCATTAGTGTTCTGCTTCATGTAATAGCACCAAAATGTATCTTTGCTTCATAGCTAGTAGCAATTTCCTTGTTCATGACTACTGACCATAAAACTTCATGATGTTTGCATCCTGACAATCTTATTTATGAAATCTTATCCTCGAGTCTTAAACTGACTTTGCCAAACAGGTAAACCAGAAGATGATCCTTACTCTCACAGCAAGCATCATGTATTGGAGCTTGCAACATAAAGCTGATACTCCAGAGACCATCCCTGAAGAAGACATTGCTGCTTCTGATGAATCTCCGGCTGCACCCAATGATGGTGAGAATGCTTCTTCCTAAGTCACAGAAGAGGAGCAGCAACAAGACAGATAGAGATATTCATGAAAATAAGTATAGATAATATCGTTCGTATTGTCACTGATGGATTGGTGGGAATGCTTCTTCTGATTTGATCCTCAACTCTTGTTTTGAAGAGGACAAATCTCATATAGTTGGTCAATATGTTAATTAACTAAAAATTCGTTAGTCGCGCTTCTTTATCGCCACAAAGTGGTTAGGGTGGTACAAGGCAAGAAAAAAAAGTAACTTGTATATTTTTAAAGAATGTTTAGGTTCTCTGGACTTATAGATTACCAGGGGTTTCAAATAGACAGCTATCTTGTTTTCTTCATGAAACTGATATGAGATTTGAATGAAAACCTGCAGGATACTTTGCCTCATCATTTCTTGAAGCAGTATCCTACTAGTTATATTTATACTAGTTTCTGGACACGTGCCTTGCACGTGTATTCCATCTTTTTTTTAATAAATTCGTTAGAATGATTGAAATTTTATGAAGACGTGTGTAATGATTAGTACAAAAATGCAACAATCTCAAAAAAGTGTTACGATAATATAATCTTTTCATAGAAAAATAAATTAAAGAAGAATGATAGAGAGAAAATATAAAAAATAAACATAGAAGGAAAAGACAACACACAATAATCTTTGCCTATCAAATTTATTTTGTATAACCATACTTTAACTCCAAAAAATCGATGAACTAAATTTTAGAAAAATGTCAAACGATACATAATTATATAAAAGATGAGTTGCATACTAAGTTTATTTTGGACAATCATACCTCAACTCCAAAATGAAAAAGAAAAACTTAAGTCATAAGCTAACATAAAAAAGTTCCAAAGAAATATATATGTCGTATCTTATACTACTAAACTTAACACTTGAACTATATTGTAAGAAAACTTCTCCCTTTAATTTCATAATGAAGCTATCTGTTTTTTTTTTGGTTAGTTTTTGACGATATGTATCTGTATCATTATCTAGGAAGAAGAAAAGAGACCAGTAGATGATGGAAAATACATGAATATGATGATATCAGAAATAATTTACTGATATTTAGTTGTCTTTTCACATATCAAACTAATAGAGCACATTGAATCATAATACATAAAATCTATTTTGGTTTCAAAATTCAAAGAGTCACTAAATTGGAAGACTCATTTATTATTAAAGTGAAGTTGTTGAACTTCATATTCCATCATTATGTAATTAAAATATTAGTATTTAATAAATTAATTAATTTTATTTTTATTTAGTGAAAGGGCAAAATGGTAATCCAACTTTGAATATTTGAGTTTCCCACTTATAATAATACTAGATGACCGTTGTCCGTGCTAAGCATGGGCTCAACGTTTAATATTTTATACATTTGTTATTATTTTATTTTACGACACATGCTTTATTTTATAATACGTTATCAGTTGAGTCTCGTCATTTACTTTTATTTGATTTACCATTTCACCAAGATTTCTTAAGCAAGGTGAAAATCCCCTTCAATACTAAAACTTCAATTGGGAATTACTTTTATACATACGAATACATGTTAGCCATAAAACATTGTGGTCACTTCCCTTGTACATTTTGATTTGAAACAATAAGATA